GGGGGGGGGCAGTGATGCACCAGGAGGCAAGCCCCCAGGGGAGTGCACGGTCTGTAGGGTGGGCTTTGGGATGAAACAACTGCGTTGAATCCAGGTGAACTGCCGCCCACCAAGTGGGTCACCTGAGCCTTTCTGAGCCCCGGTTTCCTCATCTGTACAGCATAATGCTGCTACCTCCTGGGATCTGTAAGGACCCAGAGACTGCCTCTGTGTAAAGGCCGTGGCATAGCACCCAGCACCCGGTAAGCGTTCAGCAAGCTCATCACTCTAGCTGACTTGGGGAGTACTGTGGGAGCTGGGGAGAAGAGGGCTGGGAGGAGATGCAGTTCCAGACACACAGCCAGTCCTCAGAGGGACAGGACTGGTCTCCGCCCACAGGGGCTGGGCTGTTGGGAGGCAGCCAGGCCTGCAGCGCTGGCTCAGGCCCCTCTTGTCACCCCACCTGCCTGCAAGGCCAGGGCAGACAGTCCTCCCCCACTCCTCCCTGATGAGCAGTCTTACCCTACTGCTTCCTAGCGACTAGACTAGCCATGAGTCACCCCCTTCAGGGGTCCAGCCTTCCCCACCTCCTCTCAATGACCATCATTCTCTCACCCCTCTGCCAGGATGAGCTCTTTCCAATCTGCTCTTCAGTGTCTATCTCTCATGCATTCCCTCGGCTACGCCCAGGTCAGGTGGGGAGGGCCAACCACACCCATCTCTCCCTAGTTGAGGGGGGCTGGGGCGGACCTGGCTTTGTGGGTGGAGAGGTCGGGGGCTGCACCCCCAGATGGCCCCGAAGGCAGGCGGATCACTCGGAGGGCTGGGTCATGGACGCGGGTTCGCAGACCGCCGGGCGCGTTCGGGAGGAGCCGCAGTCTGGTCTCCTCCGAGCGCAGGAGCTGGGGACCGAAACTCAGAACCTCAGAAAGTCATGCAGATCAGGATGACGAAGTCTGAGAGTCTGGGAACCGCGCAGAATTAAGAGCGCGACTGGATTCAGACCTGCATAGATTGTTTCGGTAATTAAACCGCACACACCACTAAGGGGTTAGAAGGGGACCTAGGTCGCCGACGTACTGGGATCCCAGAATTGGGGTGCGGACCCTTGAGGGGAGGGGCGGGGCTCTGGGTTTGGTGACAGGGACCCTCTGTCGGGGGAGACCCTGACGATAAGGCAGTCTGAGAAAAAGAAAAGATCTCGGGAGCAGCCCCTTCTTCTCTGCCTCCCGCCGGGCCAATTGCCCCGAAACCCTCTCCCGAATCCATAGCCACAGCTCACCTCGGTGCCCGGCTCTCTAGCTGTCCGCCTCAGGAGTCTGCCCATAACAAACATGGCGGCAAGGGCGACGCCGGGAGGTGGGGGCGGGGCCTGCAGTTATCGCGAGAGCCGCGCTTTCCTGCCTATATCCGGCGTGGTCGGTGCG